GCGGGCCGGGGCGTGCGGGGCTTGGGCGGTGGACCCGAGGGTGTGGCCGTCGCTCGTGGGGTGGTTCCGAGAAGCCAATCGGTGGTCCTTGGTCAGATGGGTCGTCCGGTGCCCGCCACCGTCGCTGTGTGGCATGGAAGCGGCTGCCGTCGGGAGACACCTGTCTGTCCTCGTCCTTGACGGTTCATTGAACCCCCGCAGCGACTCTGCTGGTCGTTATGCACGTGCCATATTATTTTTGTTTTTATTTTGTAGTGCAGGGGATTTCACGAGGGTGGACACCCCAGGGCACAAGCTAGGAGGTGAGAGGGTAGAAGGCGCATCCAGGTGGGCTTGACTCCCTGTCTCTTGTTCTTCCTGACAGCGGACCTCCCTGAAACCCGGAGCTGCCAGTACCTGCCTGAAACCTTGGGAGCACTTATTCAGAGGGATCAGTGCTCAGATCTCTCTAGTGACTGTGAAGTGAACGTGGGCAGAATCTCACCAGGTGGTAACTCTATCCTGAGATTTGTGCAGTCTGCAGTTACATGGTTTGAGCTGAGGCTCCTGGACCCTCCAGCACGGTTGAGGCTGCGTCTCCCCTCAGGGGCACAGATTCCTATTCGGGGGCAGTGATGTCCAGTAGAAAGTCGATGAAAAGCACAAGCCTCATTTAGAATTTTTCAGCAGCTACAGTCAAAAGAGGCAGGCAGAGCCAATTTTGCTGATGTGTTTTCCTTGAGTCATTGCATTCAAAATGTTATCTTGACTCGTGGCACTGGCCTCACTTAAGGTGTTCAGTGGTTGCATGCAGCTAATGGCTACAGTATTGGATAGCACGTTTCTGGTGAATTCCAAAAGAGTCAGGCTTAGGGTGCTAGAAGATAGTTGCAGGTAAAGTGAATTTGTTTTCCGGCCGAGTCCCAGCCCTTCTGAAAGAAAGCAACTGTGACTGGAAAGAGGAAGTCCATGCCAGGTCCTGTCACTGAGAACAGCTGTTTGACAGAGACCTGTTCCAGAGCTTCTGGGCAGAGGCAGAAGATTCTAGAAAGGAGCAGGTTCTGATTTGCTTCACCTGAGTCAGTTCTTGGTTCACTGCATAGCATGAGTAAGACTTATAATGTTATCACATTCAGGAGCTGTTACGGACCAGGTCACCAGGGATAATGTGAACTAACTTGCAGAAGGTGGTGACCTGGGGTTCAGAGGGTTAAGTGTCAAGGTGAAGAGAAAAAGGTACTTTACTAGAGGGCTGGTGAGGCCATGGTATCCAGAGAAGATGTAGTCAGCTGACAAAATCCTAAACAACACCCCATTTCCTTCATTTTCCCAATACTTTTTCTGCACCTTGAGTAGCTGTCACACCACATTCATTACTACATGTGGCATTTAGAGTTATGCTGACGCTACTTCTTTCTTGAACATAGATAATAAAATGATACCAGAGGGAGGGAGTTTTCTATGCTGGAAACCCCAAAATATGAGGGGGACCCCACAAAAAAAAATCATTTATCTTTTGGAGGGCAGACCCCTTGTAGTACAGGCTTTTCCCACTAGGTAAGTGTTCTAGGAACCCACCAGCATCAGTGTACCAGCTAACATTGTTGTGAGAGGCTGTGTTTGGCTTCAGTTATTATATATATATATATTTTTTTTTTTTTTTTTTTTGAGACTCAACACATTTGCCCATTTCATTATGGTGGCTTGTGAGTGCACTTGCCCACAATGCCCTGAGTATTCATCAGTTTTTGACCAAAAATGACATGACCCCCCCATACCCCACCCTCCCTATTCACCTGATCTCACCCAGAGTGACTTTTTTCTGTTTCTCTGGGGAAAAGTCTTCAAAGGGAAACATCTGGTGGGTGTGGAAGAGGTGAAACAAAAGACAGCAGAAGCACTAAAAGACACCAAAATTGACAAGTCTAGAAACTTTTGAGCAGTGGAAAAAGTGTCTCGATAGGTTTCTTGCATCAAACGAAGAGTTCTTTAAGGGTGACTGAAGTTTGAATAAGTAAGAATAAGTACACAATTTTTTAAATAAATAAATTCTGGGGCTTTTGGGTTCCTCCTCTTATGGGGCCTGAAATTAATGACTTGTGAATAGTCACCCAGGGCAGACCCAAGAACTAAGCACGGTGCTGTTCACACACAGGTGAGTGTCATAAGCATCCTATCAAAAGGTCTTTTTTAAGAATCAGCAACCATTATTGAGTAAAAAGTTGAAAAACATATTCCTTGTATAAAACATTACATCTTTATTTTAGAGTTTTCTGTGGAAGCTCTAACTCAGGGTATAAAGACAGTAAGAATTTGCTTACTAATCCCGCCTGAGTTGTTTTTTGGGGGGGATATTAGGTTGAATGAGGTAGAGGGTTTCACCTCTGTGTACCTGAACATGGTAAGTTACTCTTCTGTTGTATTATTTTTATAATTTTGTCAGGTAGTCACAAGGAACATAAATTGTTACTAAATTAACGAAATACAGTTTTTACCACACCCAGTGAAAAATGCAGGGTTAAGTGGACTTAATATCAGAGGTGAATTCATTCAAGTGCTGCTACCTTTGTGTGGTCCTTCTGTCCCTTTTCAAGAGTCAAAGTGACATTCCCCATTGGGAAACCTTTTCTCCAGTTGGGTGTGAAGAGAATTTTAGGCAGGTGAATGCAGACACGTCTCGATCATGATGGGATTACGTACCAGTAAAACCATTGTAAGTGTCATAATTGAGAACTCTGTCTAAAGAAACTATAAGGCAGACCAAGTCTCTCATGACCCCTTGTTCTTTCCTCCTCTCCAGGTGAACCTTCACAGGCCTCTACTCTCTTCGAGGAGCAGCAGAAAATGAACATGGCTCAGGTGAGTTTAGTTCTTAATAATCAGTTTGTTTTACAAACTCTTATAAGGGCTTTTTAAGGACTTTGTGTAAGGGTTTATGTATCTATTTTAATATGAAAAAGTAGAGACAGAAATGGGTCAGACACATTCATAGAAGGTACAGGAATAAGACTAGCAGAGCAAAGGTGGCATGTGGGTAGATAGATGCAGGTCCTCTGCTGGTACACATTTACCAGATTGAACTCCACATTTATTTCTGAGGTTTTTAATTACCTTGGCAGTGGGTCCGACATTATGTAATGGTTTACATTGATGAGAAAGATAAAGCAAACTGATTCCTCATGAAATATAAAGAGGAAGATAACCTGATGTAATTGCTGTTCTACAAGTAGGTGATTTAGTAATAACTCATTACATAGCATAGAATGTTTTCTTTACTTTTTCCTCGATAGAAGTAGAAAATGTCATGTTGAGTACTAACTCACTCGTTACTCACTCACTTCTCAATACTTCAAACATGGGGTTAAATTAGACATTTTTGCAATGAATCAACTGAATGTCTTTAAAAATCACACTCCATAAATATTCTGAGTATCCATGATATTCAGGTTGTCTAGCAGATGATTTAAAATTCTGTTCTTTTTCAGATGTCTCCACACTTTGCGTTCAACTTCAAATGTCTGTGTGATGCCTTGGTTTTTCTTCCCACTTGCATGTGGCTTCCAGTGGCCCTACTGGATTGTAATCAAATCCGGTGGGCATTGTCTTACCCTTTCCTTACTTGACTTTTCTTCTCCACTTGCCTCTGCTTCTCACTCTGTCCTGGAATGTTTCTCTGTGAGTGCTGCCATCTCTATGGACTCATCATCTCCTCTTGTCCTACTGACTTTGAATATGTCATCCCATTGCCTTCTGTTCTTCATGGTTTCTCATTTGAAATCAACTTTAAATATGATTGGTTGCTTCTCCCTTGCTGCTTTCAAGATTATCTCTGTCTTTGGCTGTTTTAAAATTTTGAATATATTGTATCCAGGTGTGGATTTCTTTCTCCAAGATTATCTTACTTTTAGTTGAGCTTTTGGAGTGTGTAGATTAATCATGTCCTTCAAATTTTGGAACCTCTTGGCCACTGTTACTTCAAAAATTGTGTTAGACCCTTTGTGTCTCCCTTCTCTGTCCTGTACTCTCATTATGCATCTGTTGGTAAGCTTGATGTTGTCCTATGGTTCATTTTTTTGTTATTACTTTTTTCTTTCTGTTTCTCACTGCACAGTCTCAATGGACGTGTTATCTTAGTTGCTTCACTCTTTTTTCCATCTACGCAGCTCCACTGTTGAATGGACCTTTTTGGTGAAATGTTCATTTTAGTTATTGTACTCTTTAATTTTAGAGTTTTGGTCCCTTTTTATAATTTCTTTCTCTTTATGTCTTTATTTGGTGACATACTTCCCTTCAGTCCTTATATATCATTTCCTTTAGGTCTTTAACCATATTTTAAATAACTGATTTAAAGTCATTGTCTGGTTAAGTCCAATATCTGCTTCCTCAGGAGCAATTTCTGTTGATTACTTGTTCCCTGCATATGGGTCTTACTTTTTTTTTTCTTGTTTTGTAATTTTTTTTTTTTTTTAAGTTGGAGTGTCACTCTTTGCCACCCAGAGTGGAGTGCAGTGGCATGCTCATGACCACTGCAGCCTTGACCTGCTGGGCTCAAGCAGTCCTTCCGCTTCAGCCTTCCAAGTAGCTGTAACTACAGATGCACGCCAGCACACCAGCCTAGTTTTTGCGATTTATTGTAGAGACGAGGTCCCGCCAAGTTGCCTAGGCTGGTCTCGAATCCCTGGACTCAGACAGTTCTCTCGCCTCGGTCTCCCAAAATGCTGGGATTATAGGCTGAGCCACTGTGCCTGGCCTTGTTTTATAATTTTTGTTGTTGAAAACAGGACATTTTAATAAAATTTGGCAACTCTAGAAGAATTTCTGTCCTCCCAAGGGTTGTTGTTGAAATTTGTCCAGTGACTTTTTCTTTGAGTTGGAGTCTCATTCTGTCACCCAGGCTGGAGTGAGGTAGCATGTTCACTGCCACCGCAGTCTCTATCTGCTGGGTTCAGGTGATCCTTCCCGCTACAGCCTTCCAAGTAACTGGCACCATAGGTACATGCCTCCATGCCCGACTTATTTTTTGATTTATTGTAGAAACAAGGTCTTGCTATGTTGTCCAGGCTGGTCTCGAAACCCCTGGGCTCAGGCAATCCTGTTGCTTCTGCCTCCCAAACCGCTGGGATTATAGGCATGAGCCACTGTCCCTGGCCTGTCCAGTGACTTTTAAAAATAATTCAGTAGTGCCTGTATTTGTTGTGTGTGGCAGCTGAAGTCTCTGCAGATATTTCCTTAATGCCTGAAACCAAGCAAGTTTCCCAGTCTTTTCCAGGGAGCCTTGTGAATGCTGTGGTATTTCTCCAGCAGTCATCCAGGCCATTTACAACTCTGTATTAGTCTTCACTTCCTGCTTTCTCCAAACCTTAAGGTCACTCAGAAGTGACAGCTTAGAGCCTTCTCTTGTCCTTCCTGAGCATATCACAGTCCTGGGCATATTCTCAGCTCAGTGTATATAGGTGGGCTTCTCAATTCTCAGGAATATATCAGAGTTTTTCAAAACCTTTATGGACATTTCATCCTCCAGCTTGTCCTTTAAATAAAGCTTTTTCTTAGGCGATTACTTACCCCAACTGTTTGTCCACCACCCCAGGTAGCAGGTTAAGTTAAAGTTGCCTTTGAATGTTTTTGACTAATGCCTTGGAGCACAGGTTTTTCATCCTGGGTGAAAATTCTGAGTCAGTTCAGTAATCAGCCTTGCAAGTGAGGTCTTCAAGGGAACCATCCTATTAAGTCAAATAATGACAGTTTTCTGGGAACCAGCCTTTGACAACTCATACCCACTTCTGCCTCCTCCGGTGGTTGCCAGGCTGCTGGTTTTTGCTCTTATCTGAGTTGATTGGTTCTCAGAGCTAATGTGGAGCTGGAGAGAGATGGATGAAAATAGGACAAGTTAAGATGATGCAGAACTATGGTTCTCCCAATGTTGCAGGCTTTAAAAAACATTTTCAATTTTTTTTTCAATTGAAGTCTCACTCTGTCATCCATGCTGGAGTGATACGACTACTGCAGCCTCAACCTGCTGGGCTCAGGTGATCCTTCCATCTTAGCCTTCCTAGTAACTGAAACTATAGGTGTGTGCCACCATGCCCAGCTAATTTTTTGATTTATTGTTGGACGAGATTTTGCCAAGTTGCCCAGGCTGTTGAACCTGTGGGCTCAGACAGTCCTCTGGGATTACAGGCATAATGTATAAATTTTTTTTGTATAAATATTCTTGTATAGATTGCTTGAAACCTTTGATTAGCTTGCAGAAAAAGTTGATTCTGTAATTGCTGCCAGTTTCTCATTACTTTTATGGAAGAGAGAATTTTCTCAACTTTAGTATTTTTGCTGACATCACTTGTTAGTTTGAATTTGAAGTCTTTTGGTATAGAAACTTTGTATTTTCTTAGTTTCTAAGATTTATCCTCTGGATTTTATTACTCTTTTTCAGAAACCTTCTCTGACTTCTTGCCTGTGCATCTTTTGCCAGCCTCTTTAATATATTTGGTACTCAAGTGTTTTGTTTTGGTACTTTTTCTTAATCCCAATGTGCTCAAGGAGCTGTCTGATTGTCTTTAACTTCAGTTACCAGCTAGAGTGCTAATGATTCCTAAGTGTTTCTATAACCAACTGTTTTTGAGCCTCAAGAGTAAACAGGAAAAGTTCTCAGGTGTTTTCTGTGTCACCTAATTCCGAGACCTTGAACAAAATATGTTGCTGAAGGGATCCGTGTCATTCGAGGACGTGACCGTGGAGCTCACCCGGGAGGAGTGGCAGCAGATGGGCCCCAGGGAGCGGAGCCTGTACAGGGATGTGACGCTGGAGAACTACGGCCACCTCGTCGCAGTGGGTGAGCGGACCTGCCGCGGGACTCCTTCTGCAGCATGTTTGCTTTTTTTTTTTAGGTATCAAGACACATAGATTCTTTATAGAGATTAGAGGCTTCATAGACTTTGGACTAAAAGGTCTAATGTAATTGAAGCAAAAACAACTTTTGTCATTATCTTCCCTTCGAAAACATCAGATGAATATTCTCAGTTAATGCTTTTATAGCTGTGTCTTTTCCATCCAAGTGCTCATGGATCTGGTCCATTTATACCCTCAATTATTTCATTACAGGGTGTTGCATTACCAAACCCAAGGTTATCCTCAAGTTGGAGGAAGGAGAAGAACCATGGTCCCTAGAAGTCACATTCCTAAACCGGAAGTACCCTGGTGAGTGAGTGTTGACAGAAGGAGCCTTGGGGTAGTTAGATCTTAGCAGAAGAGCACCTTAAGAAGTTTTTTGGGGGGGGGGGGGTAACAGCTTTATTGAGATATAATTCACATCTCATATAATTCATTCAAAGTGTAATTCAATGGCTTTTAATGTGTTTATAGATACAGTCTGCCCTCTGTATCCACGGGTTCTGCATCCATGGATTCCAGCAATTATAGATTGAAACTATTTTAAAAAATGCATCTCTACTGAAAATGAACAGACTTTTCTGTCATTATTCCCTAAACAATATAGTATACAACTGTCTACTGTCTCTGTTTTATGAGGCTCGTAAGTAATATGGAGATGATTTAAAATATACTAGAGGATTTGCATAGGTTATGTGTAAATACTGTGCCATTTTATATCAAGGACTTGGGCATCCATAGATTTTGGTATTCAAAGGACTCCTAGATCCAATCCTCCAAGTGATGACTCTATGTACAAACGTCATCACCTCAAAAAGAAATCTGTACTCTTTAGTTGTCACTCTTCTATACCCCTGACTCCTCCAGCTCTAAGTAGACATGAATCTACATGTGTCTCTGCAGATCTGCCTATTCTGGACATTTTGTATAAATGGAATCATATAGTATGTGATCATTTGTGATTGGCGTCTTTTGCTTAACTTAATGTTTAAAAAGTTCATGTTATAGCATATATCAGTGTTTCATCCTTTTTATGGCCAGATACTATTTCATTGTTTGGATATACTGCTTGTGTTTCCATTGATCAGTCAGTAGATACTTGGACTACCACCTTTTGGCTATTATGGATAATGCTGATATGAACATTCATTTACAAGATTTTGCATGGACATATGTTTTTATGCCTAGGCATGAAATTCTGGGTCATGTGGTACCTCTGTTTATCTGATTAAGGAACTGCCAGGCTGTTTTCCTAAATGACATCGCCATTTTCCATTGCTAACAACAGCCCATAGGGATTCTGATTTTTCCATATTCTTACCAACATTTGTTTGATTCCAGCCATCCTGGTGAATGTGAAGTGGCATTTCCTTGTGATTTTGATTTGTTTTTCTTTGTTAGGCAGCTAAGGCTGTCATAATAAAATACCACAGACTGAGCGGATTAAACAACAGAAATTCTCTCAGTTCTGGAGACTGAAATTCCAAGATCAGGATGCCAGTAAGTTGGTTTCTGGTGAGGTCTCTCTTTCCTGGCTTGCAGAAAACCACTTTTCTTGCTATGTTCTCACATGACCATCCTCTGTGCATAGCCACTGGGGGAGAGAGAGAGCACCCTGGTGTTTTTTCCCTTTCTTGTAAGGACATCAGTGCTACTGGATTAAGGCTTCATCCTTATGGCCTCATTTTAACCTGGATTACCTCCTAAAGGCCTTGCCTCCAAATACCGTATTACTGGAGGTTAGTTCTTCAACATATGATTTGGGGGATGGGACACAGTCCATAACAGTTTATTTGTCACTAATGATGTCAAACATCTTTTCATATACATCTTAGCCTTTGTCTATACTAATAAATGATTCCAGAAATTTAAAAAAGTTATAGTATTCAATATAATTCCTAGAAGAAAAATTAAAATCATCTTAATTATTAGAAGTGATGTACACTAGCCGTGCTCGGTGGCTTAACCTGTAATCCCGTGCCTAGGGAGGCTGAGGTGAGTAGGTTGCCTGAGCCCATGGGTTCAAGACCCGCCTAGGCAGCAAAACCTCATCTCTACAATAAATTAAAAAACCAGCCATGCGTGGTAGCACATGCCTGTATTTCCAGCTACTTGGAAGGCTGAGGCAGAAGGATCACCAGAGCCCGGCAGGTCGAGGCTGTGGTGGCTGGGAGCAGCCACTGCACTCCAGTCTGAGTGACAGAGTGAGACTCCAACTCAAAAAAAAAGAAGTGATATACACTTATTGAAAGTTTTTGTTGTGAAACAAATGGCATTATATAAAGATTGACATAATTTAGATCAAGCATATATCCCAGTCAATATATGTAAAAGATTAGAGCATATTGACTGGCTAAATAAGCTATCTCTAAATATAAAACTTAGAAAAATTGTTATAATAGAATGGAAAGTTGTTAGTCAATAAAAGTAAAATAATTTAGATTTCATGTTCTGTTATCATTCAGGTTTGAATTCAAATATTCAGACATTAAAGTCTAGCCTGAGAGCACAGGTAAAAGAAAACATTTAAGGATTTGAATAACTGAACCAAATAATATGATTTCAGTGTTCTAAAACAAAGGAATAAAGTTCTAAGAATCCAAAAAACTGCTTCTGGTTACAGTCCATATTCTCCTACCACTTCTTTCTTGAGTGTTCAAATACAGTTGTTTGCTTTTCTGGTTAAAAAAAAAGATAGATTAAAATGCCCTCACTAGAAGATACCACAGCTAGCTAGCTTACCTTCCACCATGTGAGTCTATTACAAGAATAGTCTATAACCCAAAGACGTCACTCACAAGAATGCAACTGTGTTGGCACCCTATTCTGAGACTTCCAGCCTCTCGAACCGAGAAAAATAAATATTTATTATTTAAGTCACCTTAATTTGTTATAGTCGCCCATGTTGTTTTATTATCTGTTGAATGTCTGTTGTGTCAGTAATTTCCCCTCTTGCATTTCTGATATTGATAGTTTGTGACTTGATTTTTTTTTCTGCTTATCATTGAAAAAAATCTTTTTAAATAACTAAGCTTTGGTTTGATTTTCTGTGATGTGTTCTGTTTTCAGTTTTATTGTCTAATCTTTCCTGTTTTTCTTCCATTACTTTCTTTAGATTTAATTGTCTCTCTTTGTCTAGTTTCTTAAAGTGGGAACTTAAGTATCCAGAGATCTTTCTTTTCAAATATAAAAATTTTAAACCACATATTTATGTCTGAGCACTGCTTTAGTTGCATTCAGAAATTTCTGTATTTTTGTGTTATTTTCATACACCTCAAAATA